GCAGGGAGCCCGATGTGGGGCTCGATCCCAGGACCCTGGGATCATGACCTGAGCCGAAAGCAGACGCTTAACGACTGAGCCACCCAGGCGCCCCATATAGCACAACTTCTTTATCTACTCTCCTGCCAATGGACACTTGGGTCAGTTCTAGGTCTTTGTTATTATATGAGCAATGGAAATCTCTAGGTTCTAGGAGTGGGTAGAAGAGTGAGAAGGGAGATAGCGGCTTAGAAGGAAAGCAGATCAAATCTTCAAAAGGGGAGTAGAGTTAAAGGAAAGCTTTTTAGATGTTTATTCCTCCCTCTAAACTGCCGTGGGTGAATCACCTTACCTACTCCCTCACCGCTACAGGGTGGAAAAATGGTAGAATTGACCAGAAGCAGAGAGGTCAGGCTAAGGAGCTGAGAAGACAAATACTGGTCCCCAACAGTCCGCCCCCTGACTCCTACTCCCAGGAGTGATAACAGTGAAGACAGCCAAGGGCAGAGGAACAAAAAGAATCCTCAGAGGCCAAGTCACCTGGTTTGGGAGAAGGAACATCTGTCCAATGGTGGTGCCCTAGATTGTAACACCAGCAGCATTCTTCCTACCCGTACTCACCAGGAGGGGCTTAAATTACCCCCAACCCCACACACATTAGTGACCAAAGAAATTGATATTCCTGAGGGAATATGAGCTGATGGGGAAAAGAAATGATAATCTGATAAACACAACTACAATAAAATAAAGACAATAAACTCAACACCACCCATCAGATGAAACAAAATGAAATACTAAAAGATAAGATTATACAGTGAGTATTTAAAAATACCTCAGAGAGAAAAGAAAGGATATTGATAATATAAAGAAACAAGTAGCTAGCTGTTAAGAAGAACTAACCAAAACGACTAGGTACAAAAAATGTAATGGCTGAAATAAAGAACTCATGGACATCCATCTAATGACCAAAAGACAAATTACCAAAGTCAGTAGAAGAGAGGAAATAATAAAGAGAAATGGAAGGCCAAATTAGAAGCATCAAAATCTATATTAACAGGAATCCCAGAAGAAGACAAGAGAAAAAAAATTACCAAAAAAAAATGCAAAATATGATAATCACAAAATTTCCAGTTAAAGAACGATAAAAGACATACAATCCAGGTGTTGAGGAGATTACCACAAAACAATTATGAAATACTAAAGAACTTTTATACAGCTGAAGGTAAAGTTAAAGGCAAATGATAGGCTGCAAGGAAAAATTTACAGGATATGTAAAAGAAAAAGGTTAGTATCCAAACTACACAGAGCCATCTGCTGCAAAACAACTCGATCATGCACAAAAATAGTTTTTGTAGCATAGCTGATATCACAGAGGTAAGGGAAGTTCCAGAAAAAATCAAAGGGTAAAAAACTGAAAAAAGCTTTGAGTTGAGCAGTGAGAACTAGAGAAAAGTAAGCATCATGAGTCAGGTGCTGCTATCAGCTACAGACCCAAGCCTGGGTCCCTGCCTCGGCAACTCGG